ATAGGGTTAATGTTGCTGTCAGAATCAAATCATCCATTATTCCTTTAGTATTTTTTATATCTAATAAGGAAAAAAATTTTTGGAATATTTATAATTTATTTATAATTATATAACAGTTTACATAAAAGCTTTCAGTACAGTACCTTGGACGAAGAAATATTTTGTGGCCATGGAGACTTAGGACTGAGTCAGACTGTATATATATATTGTACTATACACACATGTTGATGACCCTGTTACTGCCTGATGTCCCTCCTCAGGTACGTACTGCCAGCAGAGAGAGGTGGAGGCCATCACAGAGGGGGTGGATGAGGATGAAGGTGAGGATGACCTCTTAGTAGCGTTTCGTAGCATGTATATGTAGAATTTTAACATTCCTGGCAAGTAACTTAGTATACACTCTGTTTAGTAGCCATAGAACATGTTTAGTATAATTAGGTACAACTGCTCACTGTACCCTTCATGAGTATAGTTTAGCGTAATGTAGAATGTACATGAAGAGTTGAAATATTCTCTAGCCAGTAGTTCTTTATAATACTCTGTCAGATACAATGTCCGTTGACCATATATATAGCATTATGTTAGACACATACCAACTAGTAATCTTATTATTTGCCATACATTGTACCCGTGACAATCGTTGTGCAATAAACTTTGACTTTGTCTTTGTTTATTTCTTTCACATACTATGACATAGATTTGTGAGCATTGGACAGAAAACGTGTTATGTACTTACAAGGATCCTTTGCTCATGAAACATAAAAAAAACATAAACACAGAGTTGGGGTAACAAATACAAAACATAGAGTGGACATAAATGAAAATGGTTGGCGTACCCATCAAATCTTCCAGACATTAGAATGAAATTGAATCCAGACGTTAAAATGAAATTGAACACGATATCGGATTGGAGATACAGCAATTTGTATGAGAGGGAGGGGCTACCAATCTTACAACATCAGGCCTGGTGTAAATTCCTCTGTTACTGCCAGTTGAATGGGAGAATGGTTTAAAGTTGATGTACTTGTCCCCCATCTTCCCCAGGCTGTTGCTGCTGTGAGCCTGCCCCACATTCTGTCAGGAAATGCTGTGTGGCAGCAGCTGACTATATCATACAGAACAACCTGTTACACCTAACCCTTGCACATCTAGCTTTAACCAGCGCTGGCTATATTACACAGAACGACCTGTTACACCGAACCATTGCACATCTAACTGTGTTTTTTTCCCCTCCACAAAAGGTTGTTGCTGCTGTGAGCCTGGGCACCTGCCCCACATGCTGTCAGGGAATGCTGCCTTTAACCGGCGCTGGCTGGCTATATTACACAAAACGACCTGTTACACCTAACCATTGCACATCTAACTGTAAGTGTATGTTTTCCCCTCCACAAAAGGTTGTTGCTGCTGTGAGCCTGGGCACCTGCCCCACATGCTGTCAGGGAACGCTGCCTTTAACCAGCGCTGGCTGGCTATATTACACAGAACGACCTGTTACACCTAATCCTTGCACATCTAACTGTAACCATGGTTTAAACTTGATGCATTTGTCCCCCTCCACAAAAGGTTGTTGCTGCTGTGAGCCTGGGCACCTGCCCCACATGCTGTCAGGGAACGCTGCCTTTAACCAGCGCTGGCTGGCTTACACAGAACAACCTGTTACACCTAACCATTGCACATCTAACTGTAAGTGTTTTTTCCCCTCAACAAAAGGTTGTTGCTGCTGTGAGCCTGGGCACCTGCCCCACATGCTGTCAGGGAACGCTGCCTTTAACCAGCGCTGACTGGCTTACACAGAACGACCTGTTACACCTAACCCTTGCACATCTAACTGTGTTTTTTTCCCCTCAACAAAAGGTTGTTGCTGCTGTGAGCCTGGGCACCTGCCCCACATGCTGTCAGGGAACGCTGCCTTTAACCAGCGCTGGCTGGCCTGGGAAGTCACGGCTGTGAAGTATGTCCTGGAGGGTTACTCCATCTCAGACAACTCCGCAGCCTCCATGCTGCAGGTCTTCGATCTCAGGAAGATCCTCATCAGCTACTACATCAAGGTCAGCAGATGCACTGTCTATTTATTTCTTAGTTTGTTTGTTTGTTTGAGCCTTTATTTCAACTCGATCTGTAACAGTGTTACATGCTCTAATCGGCCGCTATTTCGGCCGCTTTTCATAGAGGTCGAGCGTGGAGGAGTGTCAGGGGGTCATAACATAAATACTACTTGCTCACAAATGAAAACAAAGTAATATTTTTTATACATAAGGTAACTCACACAAAGTAAATAAATAAACAAAATGGCAATAACTAATAAATAACTCATAAGTCGTTGTGTCCAAAGTCGTTCAGTCAAAATAGTCCTGTAAGTGAGGTGTGGCATCAAGCAGCCTATAGGCTAGCGTACATAGGATTGAGAGGTTGCAGGTTGGATCCCATGCATTCTTAGTGAGACATTGTGTAGTTGGGAAAGGCACCTTCCTCACTTCACCCAGGTGTAAAATGGGTACCTGACTTCAGTTGGGGAGGTAAAAGGCGGTGGAAGGAGAGGGATGGGCTCCGCCTTCCAATAGCGTGCCCCAGACACAGTGGAACAACCCCTACTGCCTCAAAAAGGCTATGGGACTGCCTTTACCTTTTTTTACCATAGCTTTATTGGGATGAAACTGACCCTTTGAATTCCTGGAATATTTTGTTTATTACATAAGTCCTATAATTGATATGAAGAAGTCAGCAGACAACCAGATGATGTACTCCATTTCATCTAACACTCCCTCGCTGTCTCACTTCAGAGCATCATCTACTACGTGGTTCGCTCCCCGAAGCTGGAGACGTGGGTGAACAACTCGGACATACAGGAGGCGCTCAAGATCTGCCTGGACAAAACGTACGCCGACGTGGACCCGACCTTCAACCACAACATCGACGACGACTACGACCTCCGGCTGAATGGGATCTCTCGCCACTCCTTCTGCAACACGTATCTGCTGTGGATACAGCACTGTGCAGGTAAGGCCAGGATCACTGCAACCTAATTTGTATGGCACAGCACCTAAAATTGTGTAAAATGGGAATTTTTTGCTATTTTCAGACCAGTAAAAACTGCGATTGTAGCTTGAAAAATCCCCAACTAACGGTTCTAAATAGAACACTGGTTCTACCTGTTCCAACAGCAGAAGGCGTTGGAAGATTACATTGCCGCATGGGGGGATAGACTATTGGAACACTTCACATTTTGGACAGGGGTGATTTAAGAACAATCCATTTGCGCGGGAGGGGGATAGGTCCATTTTTGGTATGGGGGATGTGGTGAAGCCATTTGCTGCAAATGCCTTTCTAGTTTTTGCTTCTTCTCCAAACCAAAAAGGTCAATGACCTGACCATTGTAACTAGTATTGAGTTACGTCATGACTCATGGTTGCAATTTCATAGCAGGAGGGATTTAGACTCCTGTCTGACAATATATAATGATTGTGTTTGAGTAAGACTTAACAGAGCAAACCATATGCGAAGGTAAACATTATGAATTTGCGTTGCAAATGTTACCTTTCTAGTGTATTTTGTTGTATATATGTGCAAATAAACAAAACAAATCCAATGAAACCCAGGCCGTCGTGAGCAGGCGGTGGACAGCAGCAGGGAGTCAGCGCTGGTCACGCTGTGCTTCGGGCTGTGTGTGCTGGGCAGGAGGGCGCTGGGCACAGCATCGCACCACATGTCATCTAGGTACAATTTTGTCTTGTATTTCCTTCATTCTTGCCTGACATTTGGTTTTGGGATGTTGTGTAACTGTGTTGTTACTCCGTGAAGGAGGTTTACAATTGTACTATACCTCCTGCAGGAGTATTGTGGTCTTTGGTTGGTTTTACATGTACATGTTCGCAGGTAAAACTCACGGGAGCATTTAACTTGCAGGCATGCCAGTGATGATGCCTGTATTTTTATTTTTACCGTAGCTGTTTTTGTAGTTAATAGTGTTAGTAATATTTCAGAAGCACCCCTGCGTTTAATAGACTTTTGGAACTGGCTGTAGATAAACAACTGTCAAACGATCTGGCGGGGAAGCAACTTTCATGCAGAGGTGCGGTTTAGTCGTTACCTTCCTGGTTCACCCTTGCTTTAACTGGACCGTTCTCTGTCCCTAACAGCTTGGAGTCGTTCCTGTACGGCCTCCATGCTCTTTTCAAGGGAGATTTCCGCATCACGTCCCCGAAGGACGAGTGGGTTTTCTGTGACATGGAGATGCTGAGGAGGTGTGTGGCACCCGGCGTCAGGATGTCACTCAAACTACATCAGGTCAGTACAATAGCCCTATAAGTACAAGGTACAGGTATTGATTTGGATTACTGAGCTGTGGGTTTGTGTGTCTGTTTGTCTGGACATGAGGCTAGTACCACACGTACATGGGCAAATGAACACGAGATAAAGACGTCACCGGTCGATTCCACACATTCCTGGCTAGACCTTGTGTCATTGGGAAAGGTACCTTACATTTTTACCTCACCCAGGTGTAAAATGGGTTCCGTAGTACTACCTGACTTCAGTTGGGGAGGCAAAAGGTGGTGGAAGGCCTTCCAATATCGTGCCCTAGACACAGTGGATTAACAACCCACTGCCCCTACAGCCTCAAAATGCTAAGGGGCTACTCGTGTACATTTAATCTGTGACAGTAAATGGTGGCATGCTAAAGAGTAGAAAACTCACAACACACAAAGAAAACTCACAACTTTAATGGCCTTCAAAAACTCATTGTAATTCGAACTGACATTTCCTGAGCAATGTTGTATGATTATTATTGTGCGTTATACCTGAAAAACAGGTCAAATACCTGAGTGTAACCCTCTGGTAAAATGAATAAACTGAAACTGATATTCCCTTGTCTCCCCAGGACCACTTCACGTCCCCAGATGAGTATGATGACCACCGTGTCCTGTATGACGCCATCACGGCTCACGAGGAGAACCTGGTCATCTCACACGAGGGAGATCCCGCCTGGAGAAACGCCGTCCTCACAAACGTGCAGTCTCTACTCGCACTCAGGTCAGTCCTCACAAACGTGCAGTCTCTACTCGCACTCAGGTCAGTCCTCACAAACGTGCAGTCTCTACTCGCACTCAGGTCAGTCCTCACAAACGTGCAGTCTCTACTCGCACTCAGGTCTCTACTCGCACTCAGGTCTCTACTCACAAACGTGCAGTCTCTACTCGCACTCAGGTCTCTACTCACACTCAGGTCAGTCCTCACAAACGTGCAGTCTCTACTCGCACTCAGGTCAGTCCTCACAAACGTGCAGTCTCTACTCGCACTCAGGTCAGTCCTCACAAACGTGCAGTCTCTACTCGCACTCAGGTCAGTCCTCACAAACGTGCAGTCTCTACTCGCACTCAGGTCAGTCCTCACAAACGTGCAGTCTCTACTCGCACTCAGGTACATGTATGACTCAAGTGCTCCACTGCATCTACATGTATTTAAGTTTATCTTTGTGGAAGGAAAACATCTTGTTTTTCTCTGTTTTGTCTTCTTTTCTTCATCTTCTTCTTCAAGCCAATAACCTGGACCAGAAAGCTGTCATCCTGGTAACTGGTGCTGTAGCAAAGACCCTGTGGTGTTGGATTACATTATGTAGCAAGTGGCAGCACACTTGGGGGGCTGGTCACAAAATTTTATGAATGTGTTTGAGTAAGAATAAATAGAGCAGTTTTTTTTATGAAGGTAAGGCCATGTTGATTTGACTATATGGATGACATCCTCCGGGAACCCCAAAATTGATGCGCGCGTGCGAATAAAAAAAAAGTTTTGCAAAAAAAAAAAGTTGTTTTCATTATGAAATCTACGTGGTCATGAGGGTTGA